CATTTTAAATTTGCGATTAAGATGGTAATGGAAGAGCGTACTTGAACATAATGATACCCCCTTTGAAAGTCAACCAGAGGGCTGCCCCAAAGACGGTTGAGAAGCTGAGGAGATGAGCCACCTTAATGAAAGTGGAGAGACTGGGAGAATTCGAACCGTCCGATTTTGATCCGAAAGTCTCCGGCGAGGTATTACCCCGACAGCTAAGAAAGCCACCGCCGTTAGGAATCTTGTTATCCAAGCCATCTCTCCGATTTTCTAGAATATTCAATATAGTGAATAAAAAAAGGGTACTTTTTATTTCATTTTCGTCTTATAATATTTTAAAGTGTTGAATTCGTTATTCAGTGCCGAACCGCTGGTGGAGGTTACTGGAATGTTCATGAATTCTTAAATAGGAATAAACCAGGTTTTAGTTCCTAAACTTTGAAACGTTTCTCAATTTAATCCCAAATTTTAATAACTTTCTCATTTTTAATATTTCGGTCCGGTGGTGTGATACTATAAAATCATCACTTTTTAAGTGACATAATATCAAAAGATAAAACTCAAATTCAAAGATTAATGAAAACTATATTCAAAATATGAAAAACTATTCAATTAGGAAATCAGCAGATATTTTGTTCCTTTTAATAAGTTAGAAAAGGTGCTGTTATTGTTTTAATTTGAAGTAAGTTACCAAAAAAGTGTTTTTTTTTTCTGATCACAAAACCATATTAAATTTAATTAAAATTAATAAATCAAAATATAAATCTAATATTTAAGTTATATATATATATATATATATTATTTTGATTTTATTTAAATGTACAAGTTTTAAATAAATATATGTATTTAACTATTTTTTTATGTAAACAATATAATTATTTATAATATATTAATAATTTTAAATTTTGAATAAACTTAAAATTATATAAACATAAAAAAATTAACGTGTTCTTTAAATATTTGAGATTTGAATATGTGATTTACAACCTTCAAAAGGAACATATTTACCATTAAAATTAAGAGTAAAGTATACAAACGGTCTTCTGATTATAGGGTGTTGTTTTGTTAAGTTTTCCAATTATTAAAAGTTATAAAATGACCCATCGATTATAGGACGTTGATTTCTTGAGACCCCGACTATTAATATGTTCCGAATTCAACATTTTTGTTAAAAAATTATTGATCGTCTTAGTTGGGCGTTAATTTGTTAACTAGTTAGGATATGATAAAATCTTATACTATATCATTTGACTGTATTTTGTAGATCGACCGTAACATCCTCAATACCAGGTTAGTGACTAAATTGTTAAACTTTAGAATTTAGAGTTTAAAGTAAAATAATTGAATAATTCAAGGACTTATATGAAAATTTCTGCATAGGCTAATTAGCAAAGAAGGAGAATTGGAAGGGCAAAATGGTCATTTAATCATTTAATGAATTGAAAATATGAAAATAGGGAGATATTACACGTGGGAATGAATGATGAAGGAAAAATCTTTCTAAAGAATTCTCTTATTCTTTTTCATCCTCTTCAACCGTGAGCCTTAAGGGAAAAAGGTAATTTCTTGTTAATTGAATTATTTGTTAAGTTTAAGTTGGGTTTATGATCCTTAGGTGTTACTTAAGCCTAAGGAAGACTTAAGTTAACTTTAAATCAAATGATTAAGGAGTTATGAGAGATTAAAGATTTGGAGTTTCGAATGAAAACTTGGAATATAGTTCATAATTAGAATTTGAAGTTAAATTTGACTTGTCATCAACCTAATTAAGAAAAATGAAGTGTTAGAATTGGAATTAGAACATGTTGCAAAGTTGGTGTAATTCTTGAATTACATAGTGAGGATAGGATTTAAGATTAAAGATGTGACAAATGAGTATTAATGAGTTTAAGTATGAGTAGGTGAGTTAAGAATATGTGAAGGGATGAAATATGAAGTGTTTGAGTTGAAATGAAGTAATTTTCGTGCTTAAAATGTGATTTCTGGGCTAAGGGTATCTGTACCCATTCAACATGTATCAATACCTCAAGAGTAAAATTAAGGAAGGTACCGATACCTTAAGAAATGTATCGATACCATCTTGAATGAAAAATTACAGAATGCAATATGGGTATCGATACCTAGGCATAGTACCGATACCTTATAGAGGGTACCGATACTTACTTTAAATAAGAAATGAAATTCGTCGTTTCTTTAGTTTGAGAAACGAAAGATTAGAGTATGCCCTTTTGGAATACTGATGTGTATCAATGTATGATTATGTAGACATCAAGGGCAAACAAGTTTCGGAACAACCACCGAGTTCAGATTCGATCGAAAGAAAGGAAATCGTTGAAGTGGATTTGGAATTTAGTGAGGCCAAGGTGAGTGCATATTAAAGATTTGGTTCAGAGGAATTATGACTTGTGATAAGTCTATTCCTATAATTAATAGTTATAGCATAGTCATTATGAACATGTATGCATGAAGGTTATTATAAATATATGCATATGTTATATATGTTTATAGTAATTGTTAAATGTTATATAATTCATATGAATAGATGAAAGTACACATGTTATATGATACAAGATATATAATTATATATACATGTGCTATGTGATAAGGAAAAGACATATGTGAATACAAGAGAAAATATATGAATACATGAACATATGATAATAACAATAATGCCCATGTTGTGTGATATGAGAGTTTTAGGTATAGTTGGCATGCCAAGAGTCGAGGGTTTCATAGGTCCTTCAGGACATATTCATAGGTTCTTTGAGACAAATTTCATATGCCACTCAGTGGAACTTATACGAGCTGTGGAGACAGCAGATGTGCACAACCTCTATGCACTCGAATACCTTAAGTTCTCAGTATATACATGAGCCTATAAAGAACATGAAAATTGGATGTATATCATCATATGTTGTCATATTAGTATTGGTTATATTGAATCATATGAAATGAAATGAAAACATGAATGATAGTAATGATTTTATTTGCATATTAGATTACATGATCATATTTCTAAGAAATGTATTATTATAAGTTTATGCCTCACTAAGTCTATGACTTAGCGTGTAAGTGATTTACAAGTAGGTACAGAAAATCAAGAAGACCTGTCGTAGGAGAAGCCGAGCAGCATATCACAACTTGAAGATCAGATCAGAAGCCTATTGCACAATATGTTTGTTTACGTAATCTATGTGTTGGCATGAAAATAGAATTGTATAGTATGACAGCTCTGATCAAGTTGTAATGTTTTGAACTTAACGATTTAAATAAAGTTTTGGTATTAATGAAAGTTTAAATTTACTATGGTTTTTATAAATATACGAGCTTTGAAAAGTCATTGTGACACCTCGGATTCGTATCCGGGTCGGATACGGGTTAGGGGTGTTACATCGACTCTCTGTTTATGTTATTTTATCAAGTCAATGCTTGAAACATTATGATGTAGAGCCAGTACTGAAACCAACAATGGTGTCGATATACACCATTAAAATATGATTTTATCATATTTCAGTGAGCAAGTTAACCTCCAGCACAAATGGTAGTTAAATTTTTAACAGAAAAAGACGAGTTTGTGACATATGAATAGTTAAATGATCATTTTTTAATTTTTTTAATAGCCAAATAACTCAATAAAATAATACCCTATATTTAATAGATTATTTTGTAACTTTTAATAATTAGAAAACTAAGTTAAATAACATTATATAGTCAGTGATGATTTATATATTTTATCCTAAATTAAAATATCTGGTTTACAAAGTCGGGGATTGAAATATATATATATATATATATATATATAAATAGAGCGAAAACTTATTTACTGAACAACCAGACCAGACAAGTATTACAACATTTAAGCAACATCAAGGCGAGTAGCCAAGCAAGAAAGACCTACGAAAACAATATTCTACCTGTTCCAGCTACTACGCCAACTGCAAACCCGGAATTTAATGACACGAAAAATAAGTTTCAGTTCTGGCTGGAACAGTTTATTCAACAGACAACACACAAAGCGCCCGTCTTTAATCTACATGTAGAAGTTGGAATTGAAAGTGAAGTCCAAATTTCATGATTTTTTATTGTTTTTCTATAAAGATAAGTGGCATTTTTGTGAAGTTGAGCACCGATAATTTAACCAATTAGATACAAACATTGGAAGCTCACATGCACGTATCATGTTTCATCGTTGAAAATTTAGATTTCTCAACCCGTGAAAAGATTATTGGAAACACTTTTACTGAGATTCATGAATTTCTTTCTTGTTGTGTTGTTAATATTCAACCTGACAATCGAATGAAATGATGGTAATTGACTGCTAGTGAGTGAGAAACGTAATGATGTTGGTTTGGGGATAAATAATTCCTTGTTTTATATGGGATGATGATTCCTTGTTTGGTTCCCACGAAAGTAAACGAGGGGGAAAAACGTGTTAACTAATATTAAACTAAAGTACCAATACAATCCTTTTAATGTAAAGTATAAAAACAACACGTTTCATAAATATATTGTATATCTTTCTAAAACTTTGATGGTTACAGTGAATAAAGGAAACTGATGGAAACAGCTTTATTGCTACCACCTCCCTCGCACGCAATTATGTACATCGAGGGTTGCAACGGAGGAAAAAGAGCGTGTGTTTTTTTTTTGCATGTCTCCAAGAACCGAAGAACGCAATTGATGGCGCATGAATTGACATTACCTTTACAAAAAGCCCTTAGCTTTTGTTTTGGCAGAAACCAGAGTACCTGACTTGACATTGTTAACAGGATTTTTTCAGTTCAATCTAGGCCACGTTTAAATAACGACGATGCACTCGAAGCCATGATACTCAGAAATTTCACCAAGTGGCTAAAGTAAAAACATTTGGTGTGAAACTAGCAAATACAAAATCTAGTGGAATGTTAGACATGTCAGTCTACAGAAAAAATATATAGTGTAAATCTAAACATATTAATCCCTTTTAAGTTCAATTCGAATGGAAAAAAGACCGTTTTAGGCCAAGGAAATGTACCAAAAGTAGAAATTCAATTATGAAAATTTATGTACATGTGGTAGATAAAAACGTAAAAGAAGAAAGGTGACGACAAAATTTTCGGGCAGGGTTAAAATTTTACTCTTTTGTTTTGTACAAACTGGTAAATTTGTAAAGAGATTCATCTGCCGGTAAACATCTCCAGCAAATTTTTGATCTTTTATATGACAGTAGAGTCGACTTCTAAGAAACAATCAGCAGCTCAGAGCTTCATACTTCATTGGAAGTTGACGATTAAACCCTACTTGTGATAGCAAATTCCCAACTGCAGCAATATCCCTGCAAAATACTCCTTGAAACGCATTTGCATCTGATGAATTTGTTGAAGACGCGAGATCAGCTTTGGGTTCTATTTTAGAGTTTGAATTTTGCGTTTGCGGCACTTGAACTGTTGCATGCTTTGCTTGTTGTAAAGCACCAGAAGCTTTGTTCCTTTTGATAGCTGCTTCTTCATCCATGATTGTAGACATCACGCTGGAATGCCCTTTTTGAAGCAATCTGTAAAGAAGCAAAGCCGACATTTTGGCTCTGTCTTTAACAGAGTCGACATCTAGCTCGTCAGCGAACTCACATCGATCGATAAAGTTGGTAGCTTTATCCGGTTTGTGCCTTAAACACAGCAGCAAATGTGCTCTCTCAAGCTCAGACCTTGAGCACCCACGTCTCAAACCAATCAATGCATAATAATCAACATTTGCAGTCTCACCCGAAGCAACCCTCAGTTTCAATCGTTGGATTCTAGCCGTTAATGCGCAAAGCTTCCCTGGAATCTCCCTGTACCGAACATTGTGTCGCTTCCAGGCAGGACCTGGAAGTTTCCTATCTCGCAAAATGGAATTGTAAAGCAGTTTCAAGTGTTCAAGGTCGTGTAAACAATCAGGTAAACATCGTATTGTTTCGAAAAGCGAGGCCCTGGTGTCGAGCGCTTGGATGCAAGATGGATCGAGAGCAAGCGTTTTGTTACAGTCAGCGATTGCCTCTGCTATTCGACCCGAGGCATTGTAAGCACAGGCTCGATGCATATAACACTCTGCTAGGAATCCCTGAGGAGCGGGTCGGCGACCCTCTACAATTTTGGAGAAATGGCGTATGGCTTCAGAGTATAGGCCAGCATCTAAGGCAGCGATGGCAGCGGTTCGACGGCGGATGAGGAATTTGATACATGAAAGAAGCTGGGAAATGTTTTCAAATTCAGAGAGAGGCGTAGGATTGCGACGGGGTGTAGACGGAGGCGTCGTGGCGGAGGAGATGTCAGAATTATTAATGGTGGTAGGGAGAGAGAAGCTATCGTCGGACCAGCAGATGCTTTCCCGGCGGAATGCGGCGGAGGCTAGACGTTTACCGGTTTGGAGGAGTGCCATGGCGTCTTCCATTAGTCCCAAGTGGCAGCATGCTTGGCCTAGAACCATGTACCTGCATCAACAAAGTCCGGAATTACATAAATGCCCTCGTTGAAAAAATTCAAGAAAGCTACGGCATAATTGGTTTTTGATTATTTTTAATATTTTTGGGTTCTCTTAATTATTGTTTAATTAATTTGAAAGTTTATATGATTTTCACAGTCAACTAATAATTACATATAAAATTAAAAGTCCAAAAGAGGTTTAAGAGTAGTTTTTTTATCAAGTGAGTTAGTACTATTGCTGTTTAAGGGGCATTAAACTTAGATTTAAAGGATTATTGGTAATTTTAGTAATAATATAAAAAGTTGGGTCATTTTCAAGGGCGAGTTAGTTGGGAACTCCATGAAGGCTGCTGGTTCTTCATTTACTTCGATAACAAATAGAACAGAACATCAGAACATGTCTTCTGATGACAACAATTAAACAAGCACATAAAAAGTTGGACCCCAGACGAAATCGACGAAATAAAGATGCGAAATTTACCTCCATTGCCCTTCTTTGTCGCAGTTTTTACTCAACCCAGCCATCACTTTCTTCTTCAAGTCCGAGACAGAGAAACACTTGAAAGACGGGTCACGACCAGCTGAGTCGGAGGACGAGTTATTAGAAGGGAGAAGCTTGACTCGCTCCCTCGAGAGCGTTTGCGACGAGTTATCCGAGGAAACGGAGCCCGAGTCGTCGGTGGACATCTTGAGACTTGGAATGTAGTCTTGAAGCATGTCAGCAACGTCCTTGAAACGCCTCAGGTACAGCAAAGACCTGGCTTTGAGTTCCAGAGCGGTCTCTAAACGCGGCGAGAGAGCCAAGGCTGCGTCGAGAAGATTGATAGCGGAAACGATCTCGTTTTGTTCATGCGTCGCGAAAAGGTTCCTTGCATCCTTTACATACTTTTCTACAACCTGCACGGATCAAATGTATATGAATACAAGTCTTCTTTATTTTTTCAAAGGACCCAATTTCAGCAAAACGAAGATCTTTGCAGAAACTGGATGAAAAATAGTTTTTTATTTTACCTTTCTATTGCGAACCCACCAGTGTTTCTTCTGAGCATTAACACCCAAACATGGAGAAACAGCCATGATCGTTTTAATTCCTCGTTGAAGAAAAACAAAAGAAAAATCAATCAATCATTAACATTGCTCCCCTCTCTCTCACTTTACTACCTGATATGAGGAGAAATTTAGAGAAGAAACAGTGGGAAAATGGAAAGTGAGTGTGGGTTGCGGGGGGAGAGATAGAAGGGAAGAACGGAGAAAACGTCGCGAGAAGAGAGCTCTACAAAGGGAAAAATATAAAGGATAATTGCCAGCTTTGACTACAGAGGTCAGATAAAGCTTTGATCCCTCAGCTTCATAGCTGGCATCATGCCATTCTAGATTCTCTCTCTTCGCTAAGCAATGTGGCCTATGACTTTAGGCCCCAAATTCAAATGATCAGTAAGGCAAAATAAATGCTAACAAATTTTTTAGAAATGATGAACTGGTTTGTCCGGTGAATGTATATCTCTGACCGGGAAAATCCGGTGAATCATCACGGGTCCTCGGATTCAAGTTCAACCACTGGGTTTCTCAAAGGAAAAAAAACTACTGGGGGTGGTGAAGGGGAAAAAGGTAAGACGCCAGCAAATTGCCCCCAAAAGTCAGTAACTAAAGAGAGTTTTCTTACAGTTATATATTTCTCATCACTTTGAAATGACATAATCGTCCTCTGTTTTCTAAATCGTTTTTTCACTCCCATGAATAGCCATCCATTAGAGTTATTTGTGGGTTACTGAGGGATTGTGGTCATGCCAATTTCTCATACTGTGAAAAGTTTTATTTCTAATGGATGAGGGTTTATCTCTTTTGATTTTAATTAAAAATTATAATTAGTGATTTAATTATAATCGTTTGATATTAAGATCCTTTATTTTTCATAACGAAAGAGATGAAGAAAAGTTGAAGTGAAAGTATTAAGTTGAGAGAGTCGTTTTGAATCTCTTTTTATTCGAGTCAAGTTGTTTTATCATAGCTTTTTGTGTTATTGTCAGATATAGAATTATTAAGGATACTCATATGTTGATATTAGATATAATCGGTTGAGAGTAAATTTAATTTTAGTAGATCACATAAGGTTGTCAGAAGTTATGTAAAGGTACCTTAATTTTTTTTGAAGGATATCAAATGCTTAAAATCCTATTTTTGAAGATGTTGAAAACGTTGCTATGTATAAATTGATTTTGTGAAGTAGATTCAAAAGATATACTAACAATTTCTTATGTTATTATTTTGTTCATAATTGTTATTTTTTAGATGAAAATTGTATGAAAGAATTGTGTCATACTAATGATATCTCACTACCAAGGATTGTGATTGAGAGAGCAAATAAGGGATGGAGGGGAATATGGTAATTGTGTATAAGGGTGAGGGGGATTGTGAAGGAGTTACAAATGCATTGAATGTAAGGAAGCATATTTATAGGGGGGAAGAAGAAAGTAGAGAGAAAAAAGATCAGAAAGTGACTCTTGCATGGCAAGGCACAAGAATCATGCTTTTCCCCTTTCCTTTTTATTTATCTTTAAAAAAAAAAATTTATTTTATTTATCTTCATATATTTCACGTCGATTAATGAATGCACATGAAGACGAATATTGATATAGATGTGACCGATGGGTTTTCGCCAATATTACATGGCTTCACATCACCAACTGAATTTTTCCAATTGGCCTCTGGTTTGAAAACCTCACATTTGCTATGATAATTCTAGAATTTATAATACAAATGAATACGAAGAAACGAAGATGAATAATTTAATTGATCTATCAAATATATTTATTTTATAGTAAAATATTTAAATTCTTTTAAGTAGTGAACAAAATAATGATCACGTATGGTTAAGGAATTTGCGACACAAACAATGGAAACCTCATGAATTTGTTTTAGCTAGCCCTTCATACATGGGAGAACGTGGCCTTTTTATTTGTAGGTATTATTGCAAACCTCATGAATAAATTACACGCGTTAATTAACACGACTAAATTTAAGATTTCTTCATGTTTAAATTAAGGGGATGCTTATCATTAGCGTTAGGCACCAACTTCAAGTAATGTTCAATGGAAAATGTATATTAATATATCACATTTTTAAATAGTTTGAGATGACTATAAGATAACATTTGTTCATATATATATATATCATATAGATACAATTGTTTAAACCAAGAACTTATAATAAGAATAAACTATCTTTTATCATGCAGATTACTTGATACGTTAAATATGTTATTTTTTTCATCTAATATAAAGTGCAATCAATGTATTTTCTTTTTTTTTAAAAGTAAATAATTCTTATCCGTTAACCATTAATTACAGTAATCAATTACATGAATCCTTTTAATTTTTATAAACGTCACCCTTATTTCATGCATGGTCATAACATTATACTTTCAATAAAAATTGACAAGTACATTTTCATCCAAAATAGCTTGAATGATTTATCTTCACATTTATTTCCACCAGAAATATTATTGTTATTAAATATAAACACGTATATTTTAGTTGATGGATAGGGGAGAAGTAAAAGTCGGATCAAACTGATAAAATAGATTAAATTGTATTAATTGAATTTAATTAATAAAGGTAACATTCACTTTCTCTAATTCAAATTCTCAAGTGATTGAATTTATGTTCTTAAAAAGAAACTATGAATACAAATTGGGAAGTCATCTAGGACCATATATAAATATACTTAACTAGTTTGTTATGCGAATAAAAATGCATTATATTCCTCAATCAACATGTCAATAAACTATGTACCTAACTAAAGTAATTGGAAACAACAACCTTTATCATTGGATCCAACTTAATTCTATGGAAAAGGTGCCTAAAAGAGCAAAATTATAAATGGTTTTGGTTGGATTAAATAATAAGAAGCAGCATTAATTCATTTGTATGTACATTATAATGATGAACCCACCAAATGGACAGGCAATACAAGATCTATATCTATATTTATCAATCTTAAAAATAACTTTTTTAAAATAATAAAATAAGGTTTGGTTAAGTGGCAGACTCTCCCATTTTTGTAGACATGTTTGTAGCCAAGGAGGCAAAGCCATGATGTGATTCTTTTTTATAAGAAAATACAACTTTTAAAGCTTCTTAATTTTTTTCCATTTTATGATGCTTTACAATGCCTTTCAACTCAGTTATATCAAATATTATATTTCCAATTTGTTTGGGGGGGGGGGGTCCTTGAAAGCTGTTCGGAAAACTGAGGGAGGCACATATCCTGTGGATGGGATTTCACGTGGGGTTGATGACCCATGTGACCATGTGCAACGTGCTTAAAGCTTGTTAATTACCAGATCAAAATGGCCGGAACAAAGCCAGCTTTATCCGGTTGGGATGCTGCTTTGCTCTATGAAGTGGATAATAATCCAACAAAATTTTAGTATTTTACTACCACGTTATACATCAAATTATCGTTTATCATCAGGCTTAAGCTACCAGCTGGCCTTCATCGTGTTACTTAATTCGGCACAACATCCCTGTATTATATTTTAATTACTCTATAATCTTTGTAATCAATTTCATGTCGGATCATTTATGATTTTTGAACCCCATGACACAAACTTTGGAAGAAAGTCAATGTTCATTTGTTCACATACTTTAAGTATAGTTTGAGGTTTTAATTTAAATATCAGCAACCTTCAATTGTTTTTGAAACCTTAATATTTTGAGATACAATGCTTATATATTGGTTTTTAGAAATGGGTAAATTGAAACGCAAAGAATAGATCCGGAGGTGAAAAAGGCAAAGTAGTTGGGAACATGTGAAAAAGTGAATATGGATGGGGCTTTGTTCTAACGCTCTGTCATTTTGGCACCACACTCTCAGTTCTTCATCTGACAATGGCATCTTTTCACACCCCACTTCAGCCTTTATTCATCTCTATAACTTTATCTTTCAGTAATTATTACAGAAAACAGAAAGGAAAATTCCTTTCAGATCCTTCACTCCATCTCCATCCTTCTGCTACGGCCCCGAGTAGGACAATCTCTTACAAAATGGAAACAAAACCCCATGTTTTATAGCATCATTCTTGTCTTATTACTTCTTTCAACAACAAAAAAAGGTAGGGGCCTGGGATGACCAAAGTTACAGTTTTTAGCATGTTAATCCAATCTTACCAATAAACCATTGCCATATCCCATAAAACCTTTACCATTAAGGCCAGAGGTTATAATATATGAGGATTTATTTGAATTCCCATTTTTGCATGAGGTTACATATAGAGGCATTATGATCAACATCGATCCTTCTACGTTTAGCCGAGTGAATGACAAGATGGGAGGTGAAATGAAGTACGTTGTAGAGGACAGCAGCTAAAAGAAACCATCGATGCCAGCCTTTTAAGGGTTACGATTCCCTCTCTGCTTCCTGATTTAATCAAATACATTTCAAAAATGTCAAAATCAGAGTCATACTGCCTGGGCGATTTTCCCGATGACCGGTAATATTATTGATCTAATATCGGTCAGATTATATTTCCCGATCTAACACCCTTAACAGTAAAGCGCGCCCACTGCAACGCGCTATACCTGTATATCTGACACGTGGGGTATAGCGCGGTGCAGGGGGCGCGCTATACCCCTAACTACCGACCCCTCGTCCCTATAAATACCCCCATTCTCAATCAATTTTATCACACCAAATTCTCTAAATTTTTCTCAAATACTCTATTTTTAAGGTATATTTTATAATATTTTTACTATTATATTTTTACTTTATTTAATATTTTACTAATATAATTCTTTTACAGATATATAATGGAAGGCAGTCTACTTCGGTCGGATGGAAATCATATATCTCTACACTTTGTTGATACGGTAACATTTTAACGTTTTAATTTAATTTAAATTATTAGTAATATTTAGTTATTTATTTAATGCATGATTATTATATTAATAATTAAATATCTCGACATTTTACTGATACGGTAACATTTTAACGTTTTAATTTAATTTAAATTATTATTGTAACATCTTCAATATCGGGTTAGTGACTAAATTGGAAAGTTTCAGATTTTGGTGATTAAAATAGAATGAATGAATAGTATAAAGATTTATATGTAAATGATTGTGTAGAATTTAATTGAAAGGAAGAAGGAATGGAAGGGCCAAAGAGTCATTTGCAAGGAAAATTAATTAAAGAAGGGATAAGGATATATATGAGTACAAGTGGGTTGAAAAGGAGGGAACAA